TCCTCAGAGTAAAGAAAGCAATGCATTCTGATAATAGAAACAGTATAAATTAAATATCTTTTCAAAAATATTTCTTAGAATTAAAAGTATGATTTATGCCTTTAAAATGTCACTACTGTGATGGAGAAAATAGACAAAGTAATTTCACAGAATGAAAAAAAAATTATGAGAAAAAAAGAAACCTCAACATTCCAATAGAGAAAACAAAGAAAACGCAGCACAGAAAAGGTATGGAATAAAGTAAGTTTCCCAAAGCTAAATACAGATTGTATAAGCTGAAAGGACCCACTTATAACAGCTAGGATGCATGACAGAATAGCCATACCTAACCCTATCACCACGCAATCTTGGGAAACCAAGATAAAAGAGACTTCTAAAAGCTGCCAGAGAAGAAAAGCAAAAGCAGCTACCAAAAGAAAATAACTGTGACTGGCCTTAGGCAGCAACAATACTGGATGCTGAAAAAAATGGAGCAATATGATGCTTTTCAAATTCTGAAGGGGAAAATGTTAAACCAGTATTTTATATCCAGCCTACCACCAAAGCATTAGACAAAGTTATTTTCAAACACACAGGAATCACATAGTTTACCTCCTGCAATCTTTCATGAATAAATTACTTAAGGATGTTCTCCAACAAAATGAAGGAAGGAACCAAGGAAAGGAAATACAAGACCTAGGAAGAAGCTGGATCTAAATTCGGTGAATTCCTAGGATGTCTGTCAACTGCATGTCTTAAGAGCAGAGTTCCAGGGAAGAAAGTAGACTTAGGTAATAGTATAGATATTATGATTATACTAGAGGTCCAAGGCACGAAATTTGTGCACGGGGGTGTGTGTCCCTCAGCCCAGCCTGCATTCTCTCTAATCTGGGACCCCTCGAGGGATGTCCAATTGCTTGTTTAGGCCTGATCCTACAGGAATCAGGCCTAAACAGGCAGCCGGAGATCCCTCTCACAATCCAGGACTGCTGCCTCCCAACTGCTTGCCTGCCTGCCTTCCTGATTGCCTCTAACCACTTCTGCCTGCCAGCGTGATCACCTTCTAACCACTCCCCTACCAGCCTGTTTGCCCCTAACTGCCCTCCCCTGCAGGCCTGGTTCCCACTCAACTGCCCTTCCCTGCAGGCCCAGTCACCCCCAAATTCCCTCCTCTGTAGGCCTGATGTCCCCAGCTGCCCTCCCTGCTGGCCATCTTGTGGTGGCCATTTTGTGTCTACATGGGGACAGAATCTTTGACCACATAGGGGCAGCCATCTTGTGTGTTGGAGTGATGTCAATTTGCAACTACTCTTTTATTAGATAGGATATATTTAAAGGGTTTGAAAATATACTGAAGGGCAAGTACTTCTTTAATTAACAACAACAACACAATATATAAGGCTATTTAAGAACAAAATTATACAAGGCATGCCCAGGATTGAAATATGAAACAAAGTAAAATGGGGCATGTTTTGAGCAATAATGGCATATTAGGAAAAAAAAAAAAAAATACAGTATCCCACCCCCCCAGTCAAACACAATCCAAAAACAATGAAATAGAAAATTCCAAAATTTAGTGTTTTGAGTGTTGTTTTTTTATTTTTATTTTTTAATATATTTTATTGATTTTTTACAGAGGAAGGGAGAAAGAGAAAACATTGATGAGAGAGAAACATCGACCAGCTGCCTCTTGCACACCCCCTACCGGGGATGTGCCCACAACCATGGTACATGCCCTTGACTGGAATCGAACCTGGGACCTTTCAGTCCGCAAACTGATGCTCTATCCACTGAGCCAAACCTGTTTCGGTGGGTGTTTTTGTGTGTGTGTGTGTGTGTTTTTTTTAATAGTTTCATTGATTTTTAGGAGGAAGGGAGAAAGAGAAACATTGATGTGAGAGTGGAACATCCATGGGCTACCTCCTGCACATCCCCTACCACCAGGGATGACCCGCCACCAGAGCATGTGCCCTGACCAAGAATGGAACCAATCAATGTGTTTCTCTCATATCAATATTTCTGTCTCTCCCTCTCTCTTCCACTTGCTCTAAAAATTAATGGAAACATATCCTCAGATAAGGATTAAAAAAAGAATGAAAAGTTACAACCACAGTGCATAGTAAATTAAGATGATAAAGCCATTAAAATTTATGTGTAGAATATAGAAAACGTTCTGACTGATGGCAAGATGTTGTACCAGAATGCATTGAGCCTATATGAAACTTTAGCAAGGGATCCCTTGAAAGGAGTGACCACACTCACATAACTCTTACTACAGTGTATTGTTAGAACTGTTCTATTTTATTATTAGCTACTGTTCTTAATCTCTTACTGTACCTAACTAACTTATTGAACTTTATCATAAGTGCATGTTAATAGGGAAAAAAAACTAACAATATACAGTCTGTCTAAAGGGTTCAGTTCTATCCAGTTTTAGGCATCCAATGGGAGGTCTTGGAATGTAGCCCCATCTTATAAGGGTATGCTTCTGTACATCTAACCCTGATAATAGGAATATACGTACAGATTTAGGAAAACTATAGTCCCAGGACATTACTCAGCATCTCAGATTATGTTCGTCTGTCAACCCCTCAGACAGGGCTTCCTGAACCACACTTTTGCTTCGCACCACTGTTTTTATTCCCCTAGCGTCTGTTATTATCTAACATTAAAACACATGCATTATGTCATTGATTCTAATACACACATTCTTTCACTTTAATCCCATTGAAACCAGCAGGCATCTCACAATCTACTACACATAGCATTTTACAACTAGTCAGCCAGATGGCAGTCTTCTCACTGGGTGAGAAACCTCCCAAGGATACCCCCTCTGGAAATACTTAAAAAGCATCAACATCAAAATGCCTCCAATTAAATGAAATGCAATATTTATTTTCTTTCTGGGTATCTCCCCTACTGTATTCTGAGAAACATAAGGGTAGTAACTTTTTGGTGTGGTTTTGTTTTTGTTACTTTTGGGGGCGGGGTCGAGGGGTGTAATCTTTGTATCCTCCACTAACTTTTTTTGCAATCTTTGTATCCTCCACACACAGAACAGTGTCTGGCATGTAACAGATACACAATCAGTGCTACATTTTAACATCTCTGAAACCAGGATGAGTCCAACAGGATGGTTCCTATATAACTAGCCCTGATGTGTTTTTCTTCTTAGTAGTGCATATAACAATGGTGAATCATACAACAGCATCTAAGGTTTGAAGAAATTCATTAATAAAAAATCTGTAGGAAAATGGAGACGGTCTTGTGAGTTTCTTGGTAAATACAAGAAACAGAAATATAAGCTTATGATTTTATTGATTTTTTTTAGGCAGAGAGGAAGGGAGAGGAGGAAAGAGAAACATCTATGTGAGAGTGAAACATTGATGTGAAACATCCATGGGTTGCCTCCTGCACTGCCCATTTCCGGAATCCAGCCCCAGGAAACCTGGCATGTGCCCTGACCAGGCAATCAAACTGGCAACCCTTTCAGTGCATGGATGATGCCCAACCAAATTAGCCACACAGGCCAGGGCGGCTTATGCTTATTTTCTTAGTTATTGAGCTAAATACTTAAAGAAATAAACAGAAAAAGGGCAAACATGATTGCCTCATGGAAAGAGGTAAGAGACTATTTTAGTTTTTCAATAAATCGGTCTGTATTTTTTAATATATTTTATTTTTACCGATGCACATACCTTTTTTATGAACTGTTCTTATGAGTGTTTAGTAACGGGGAAGTACAGATTCACACGTACAAAATCAGCGACTGAGACAGTCGTTCACACGGGTACAGACAGAAAGACATCCAGGAGCAGAGTCAAAGTCAAAATCGATTTTCATTCGGCAAAATTTCAATTGGCAACAGGGATGGAGATCGTGAATTCCGGATTCGAGTTTAGCAAATGTCTACTGCCTGATATCAACACTAAGTTGCTTAATGACGACAATTATGCCATTTTGCTCATCAGAAAGTGAAGGTGGAATCAGCAAAGGCTTGAAAGTTTACCCTTGTGCCCTGGAATGAAAGTCTGACCCCTGCGGTGGAGTAACGATAAGTTCTCCCTCGCTACCACACTCCACATTTACACAAACACCCTTTGACCTGCCCTGGCCTGTCATCACTACGACAGATGCGAGGAATGAGCACGGTCTTCCACCATTACCAGAACGACCGACCGACCGACCATCACTTATGGGGATGCAAAAACTAGGGAAGGGGCTGCTGCCTGGGGGGTAAGAGATTCACGGATCAGCGAATGGAGGCCACGACGTGCAAAAACCCAGCTTGTGGTCCCGTGCTCAGGAGCACCGGAGGGTCCCGCCCTCCGGTCTCCGCAGAAAGGACATCTTTCCCCGGAGAAAGCTAACGAGCTAGAAAGCCCCACCGCCCTGCGCCGGCAGAGGCGCGCAGCTCAGACCCCGCCCCTCCGGCCTCTCGCAGGGCAGGCGCAGAGAGATCACAAAATGTCACAGGGCCCAGACCGAGCGCGCCAAAGCGGGACCCACCCACCCCGGGAGACCGGGACATTTAAGGCATGTCCCTCCCCTTCCTCCGTCCCTCCGCCCGGCGCAAAACTCATTCATTCTTAAGGCGGGCGGCAAATCCTCGCAGGCTAGCCACCTCGGCGCTGCAAACCCGCTACTAGACGCTTTGTCTCGCGCCCCGCCGGAACCTGGGGCGCGCATCGGAGCGCGCGCCCGGGCGTCACCTCCCCGCACCTAGGCGGGCACGATGCCCGGCCCTGCTCCGAATCCAGGATCAGGAAATGAAATGTGCATTCGGTCCCATCACCATCGCTACAATTCAAACCCCCTCCGCCACCCTTGCGCCCACTAAGAAACAGTAGATCCTTTCTCCTCCTTCCTGGAGATGGAGACCCTACCCCCTTCGGAAGGGCGTGGGCACGCTGGGCCTGGATCTCCCTCTCCGAGGTTCTCGAGGCCCCCCCCGCGGGCTGCGCCCCGGGCCCCCCGACCCCCCTGCGCGTGCTAACGGCGGCGGCCGCGCGAGGACTCACTTGAGCAGCAGCTGGTCGTGCTCGGCCTTGAACTTGCCCAGCTCGATCTGCAGCCTGGCGCGCTCGCGGGCCGTGTCGTCCAGCGCGCGCCGCGCGTCGGCCAGCTCGGTCTCGTAGAGCGCCTTGAGGCCGGTGAGCTCGCGGCCGCGCACCTCCTCCCGCTCCGTCACCTGCAGCTGCAGCGCGCTGTTCTCCGTCTCCAGGCTGCGCACCTTGTCGATGTACACGGCCAGCCGGTCGTTGAGCTCGCGCAGCTCCTCCTTCTCCTGCAGCCGCGACAGCCGCGTGGGGCTCAGCGGCGTGGCGGGGGCGCTGGCGCGGCTGCCTGCGCGCGGCGGCACGGGGGTCGCGGTCGCCATGGCGGGCGGGCGGGCGGCGGGGCGGGCGATCGGCGCGGAGCAGCGGGGAGGCCGCGGGCAGCAACGGGGACACGCAGCAAGCAGGCTGAAGGGGAGCGGCGCCGGGACCGAAGGCACACGCCGGCGATCCGCGAGGGTGGGAGCGGGGTTACAGCACAAAGGGCAAAGGGGAAGGCTACGAATCAATCAGTCGTAAAATGCCCTTTGTAAGGAAACGCGCGCGCGCGCGCACACACTCACACACGCACTAAGGAAGACACGGGGCCAGGGTGACCGGGAGGGCCGATCTGGGTCCGCGCGCCGCCGCCGCCGCCGCCTAGTCTCCCGCCCGCAGCACTTTGTTTCCTCCCAGGCGGGGCGGAGGGGCCGGCGGGCGGGCGGGCGGCGCGCGGCGGGGGCGGGGGCGGCGCGGCCCGAGCGGGACCGTCACCCACTGGGCGGGCGCGCGCGGGGCCCACGTGACCGCCGCCGGCCAATGGGAAGCTCTTTGCGGCTGAGGAGCCCGGCCCGTAAATTCAAACTCGGGGCCCTCCGGCGGCCGTTCGCTGGGCGCGCGGAGCAGGGCGTGGTGGAGGCGCCTGGGTCGGCCGGTCGGCTTCCCCGGCTCTGCAGCGCTGGCTGGCGGGGCCTGAGGGGCCGGGCCGGCGGGTGGCGGGAAGGAGCCGGCCTCCCCGGAGGTTTCCGGGGCGGGCCCGCGCCATCGCCCACACCCGGCGGTTCAGGGAAATTCAAACGTAAACGCTTTGGAAAGCGACCCGCGAAACTCGAGGAGGAAGGCCCGGGCGACCCGGGGCGTCGTAGCCTCCCCGCCGAGCGGACAGGGCTCCGAGGCCCCGCTGCGGTGTCTGCGCTGCAAAGCCCACCGTGGGCGGGTTCCCCGGGCAGCTCCGTCCTCCTCGGAGGGAAGGGGAAACTGTGCATCAAAACACCTCCTCCTTGTCAAGTTCAAGTTCGCGCGTCTGGAAGCTGACAGATAAAAAAACACAGAGATGCCAAAAGCCCTGAGGGTAAATCCTTGGCCTCCAGTGCTCTTGGGCGGGCCCCGACCCGGTTGTTCCTGAACAGTTTAGGGTTTTAGAAAAATCAAAACCACCTCACAAGTGATAGGATTCATATGTGATTGAGTAAATAGCACAAGCTCTTCATTGTCATGTTTCACAAAAAAAAAATCCGATGTATGGAAATTTAAATATGTGAAAAGTTAAGTAGAAATGACTGCTTTAAAAGGGAAATTCCCCTATTTAAAAAAAAATTTTTTTTTAATGGGTATAGGGGGGAGGTAATTCCGCAAAATGTAATTGACAACTCGTTCTAGTAGAATGGCCACAAACGCCTTTGAAAAGTTTTGAACTTTATGGCTAATGTTTATTGAAATTTGTTGTGTGCCCTGCACTGGGCTTTTCATGGGTAACCGGGCCACACAGCCATTCTGTGGTGTGGGAACTGGATTGTTTCCATCTGAAAATTTCATCCATTTTTTAAAAAACTTTTGTCATATGTATTGGGGGGACATTGGTTGATAAAATTATGTAGGTTTCACAAGCACAGTTCTATAATACACCATCTGTACATTGTATGGTTCCAACGCCAAGACACATCTTTTTCCATCACCATGTATCCCCCCATACCCTTTTCTACCTGCCCCCCTCCCCCAACCTCTCTTCCCTCTGATAATTACCACACTGTTGTCTCTGTCTGAGGGGTTTTTTATCTTGTTTTTTGTTTTTTAGCTTAATGCCTTCACCTTGTCCCCTCTGACAGCTGTCAGTCTGTACCATATATCCATGTCTCTGTTTCTATTTGTTACTTTGTTTTGTTCATTAGAGTCTACATATAATATTATACTTGTCTTTCTCTGCCTGGCTTATTCGCTTAACCTATTACTCTCCATTTTGGATTCATCCATGTTTATAAATATGTTACTCTTTTCTGCGACCAGCACAGCTAGAGAACAGACAGGAGTCCTGAGTAGGGGTGACGGGGATTGAGAAAATGAAGGAGACAGACACAAAAACAGTAGGGAAAGCTGGGACCGGGTGGGGCAGCTGTCCTCTGATGGAGAGACAGTGACCCAGAGCCAAAACAGCACATTTATTCTATACAATAAGATACCAGGAAATTTTACTAAAGTTTAAGATAAAGAAAATATGTGCATTTTTTAATTGAGTAATGAGAATTTTATTTATTATATTTTATTGATTTATTTTACAGAGGAAGGGAGAGGGATAGTTAGAAACATCAATGAGAGAGAAACATCAATCAGCTGCCTGCAACCAAGTGTACCTTGACTGGAATCGAACCTGGAACTTTTCAGGCCACAGACCAACGCTCTATCCACTGAGCCAAACCGGTTTTGGCAATATGCGTATTCTTATTGCTTCTTTGTAATCATCACTTCTGGGTGGGCTCGGATAATTGTGTTTGTTCCTGGTGCCTAGCTGGATTTAGATAATGAAATCCACCCCCTGGGGCCTGAGCTAAAGGTCAGACTGACAACACATCTGCCTTTGGCAGGGTATGTTTCCAGGGCATGGGCTCTGCCAGGCAGCACTGGATTCAGACAACAATCAGCTCAAGAGCCTTTCCCAAGCACTCTCTACACATGTTGTTCCAAAAGGTAAGATTTTCGTCTTTTTTAAGGTGACTAGTATTCCATTGTGTAAATGTCCCATAGCTTTTTTTATCCACTCATCCACTGATAGGCACTTGAGCTGTTTCCAGATCTTAGCTATGGTAAATAATGATGCTATGAACATAGAGGTGCATATGATCTTTCAAATTGGTATTTCAGGTTTCTTCAGATAAATTCCCAGAAGTGGAATTGCTCACTGGGTCATAAGGCAGTTCCACTTTTTTCTTCTTTTTTTCTTTTTTTTAATATATATTTTATTGCCGAGACCGGTTTGGCTCAATGGATAGAGCGTCGGCTTGGGGACTAAGGGGTCCCGGGTTCAATTCCAGTCAAGGGCACGTACCTTGGTTGCGGGCACATCCCCAGTAGGGGTTGTGCAGGAGGCAGCTGATCGATGACTCTCTCATCGATGTTTCTAACTCTCTATCTCTCTCCCTTCCTCTCTGTACAAAATCAATAAAATATATTTAAATATATATATTATTGATTTTGTACAGAGAGGAAGGGAGAGAGAGAGAAACTTAGAAACATCGATGAGAAATATCGATCAGTTGCCTCCTGCACACCCCCTACTGGGGATGTGCCCTCAACCAAGGTACGTGCCCTTGACTGGAATCGAACCTGGGACCTTTCAGTCCACAGGCTGACGCTCTATCCACTGAGCCAAACCGGTTTTGGCAAGGCAGTTCCACTTTTAATATTTGAGGGAACTCCACACTGTTTTCCATAGTGGTAGCCCCTGTCTGCTTTCCCACCAGCAGTGCATGAGGGTTCGCTTTTCTCCACATCCTCTCCAGCAGTTGTTGTCTGTTGACTTATTGAAGATAGCCATTCTGGCAGGTGTGAGGTGATATTGCAATGTGGTTTTAATTTGATGTTGGGCTTCTTTTCATATATCTGTTGACCATCTGTTTGTCCTCTTTGGAGAACTAGAAATTCAGATCCTTTGACCATTTATTAATTGGATTGTTTGTGTTTTTGATGTTGAATTTTATAAGTTTTTATAAATTTTGGATATTAACCCCTTATGAAAATTCATCCATTTTATCTAATCAGTGGGGTTTATCCCTGAAGCTTAATAACAGATATAATGTATGTCAACTATAATTGAAAAATAAAAAGTGATTTAATTTCCAAAAAGAAGAAAGGAATCAGCACCCTTAAAAAAAAATTCATCCATTTTATAGATGAATTTCTGTAAGGCCGCCCAGAGGCCACAGGACTGCTTTTGAACCCAGCCAGTTTCAGTTGGCTCCAGAGCCTCGCCCTTAACCATAACCTAGAAGGCCACTTCACAACCTATTAGGCATGTATCTGTAGGGTAATTACAGGTTAGTTACTTTAATAATGGCAAAAATAAAGGCTGGGATGTTCCTCAAATATTAATCAAGTCACAGACATAAGAATTAGTGAAGGACTACGAGGCTACACATCCTCCTCCTTGAATTTCTGGGCACTGTATGAGTAAGGATATTCTCCTCATTCATGGTTCTGTTTCCTGCCCTGTCATCTCAAATACAGTTGGTCCTTGAACAACATGATTTTAAACTGCCTAGGTTTATTTAAACGGTGTGTGTTTTTCAATCAGTGTACAGTGGGCCCTCCTATCCCTGGGTTTCACATTCATGGATTCAACCAACTGCTGATAGAAAGTAGTATTTCTCATCTGGAGTTGGGAATCAGTATTTTTAAATTTGCAAGCATGGAGCTCAAACTTAAATAATACCCGGGTTTTATCCTAACCTTGGCGTTGTTCTAGGGTCACCCGTACCTCCTTCCCTAACCTCTTCAGCGTTAGGAGATGAAAAACTTCTATTTTGAAGTTGGTGTTAGGAGTTGGTAAGTAAGGATTCAGATTATTTGAATAACTTTAAAAAGTCTGGAAAATCCAAATTACTGAAGAAGATCTGATCTCTAAAAGGGCAGGCGCTGGTCCGAGGTGATGGAATCAGGGTTGGAATGTAAGTCCACACACGTTGAAGCCTCTTACACTGCACTGGTTTGGTTTTCACCCTGTATGCCCTTTTACCTCAGACTTTATTATTTACTTACTTACTTATTTATTTTTACATTTTACCTCAGACTTTAAAAAAATATTTGGGAAATTTTCTTTTTAAATAATGTTGTCCATGCTTGAAGTTTTAAGACTGGAGGTGAAGTGGTTTCAGGCATAATTTCTCAACTAAGTGAAGCTTCTCTTGATAGAATTCTTTTAGGAGACTCAGGTCATATCCTAGTATCTGAAACAGCCAACACTCTGGACTCAGACAATTGACGACTTGCTATTGATTGATAGCTGTTACCTCATAGGAAAATGGGGAGTGATTCCTACCTTGACTGGGGTTTTTTAAGATAAAATATATCATCT